TCTCGCTCTCTCCGGATACTCAGACTCTGGGGTCTGGACCAGTCCTCTCGCGGTAGCGTGCGTTCATCGGCCAGTCGGCGGCCGTGGACCTGGCCGGCTCCGAACCGGGCCGCGGCGGCGAGCGATCGGATCCTCGCCACGCCGTCGCGACCCTCTGAGCAGGCCGCCTCCGCGCGGCGTGGGCGCGCGGAGGTGGCCTCCGTCAGCGCCATCCGGCCGCCTCCCTGCGGCGCCCGCCGGCCCGCCGACCACAGCTCCGCCGCATCCGGCCGCCGCCGCGCTCATGAACCCGTCCAGCGGCCGCCGCCGGCGACGCCGCACGCGCGCAAACACTTGTTACCATAGCAACAAGTGGGGCCGTTGGGCGGCCGCGCGGTCGGCGGCGGAGGGGGGGGGGGGACGGCGCGTGCACCTGGCGCCGCGGGGCATGCCGCCGCCGCCCCGCACCTGCCGCTGCCGGCCCGCGCGGCGCCCCTCCCCCCACCCCTCCTCCCGCTCATGGCCCCCGGCGGAGCGGCGGCGCCGGAGCGGAGGTCACCGCGTGGGCCGCGAGGGTCACGGCGGCGGCCAGCTGCTGCTCTGCGGCCGTCGCTCCAGGCAGCGGCGCGGCACGCGGCGCGCCCCCGGCTCGGCGCGCGGTGCCCCGAGACAGGCGCGGCAGCGGCTCTGGCAGCGCCCGGGGGACAGCTGGCGGGGAGTGCTGGGTGGAATGGGGGCGGAGCGCGCCGACGCCGGCAGAGTTCAGGCTCCGAGGCATCCCTGAGGTCGGAGCTGGGGGCGGGACGGTACGGATGGGCGTGCGCTGGTCGTTTGCCGGCTCTCGGGAGCGAGGTCGGCAGGGTGGCCATTTCTCATCGGTGGTGGTGCATAGAATATGAATTATCCGCGGATTGTGGCATGCCGTGGTGAAAGCGACTCTCCTATTTTTATTCACGTTATCTATGTAAATCCATGCAGGTTTCCTCCGTACATGACGCCGGGACGCTTGGTCTTGCCATCCACTACCGGCAGCTGACCCCAGACATTTCCTGTCACCGTTCTGATGACTCTAGATAAGTCCGTTGTCATAGAGACGGCTTCAGCTGCTGCATGTGGGATCCGGGAGCACGTTGTCTCGTTGCAGCCGGACCGCCGGTTTCGGAGCCCCGAAGATGTCGGCAGGCTATCACTGACCGCAAGCGGCGTTCAGCCATGCTCTAGCCTTCTTGCGGCCGGTTTAAGTGGAAAAACTTTTATTACGCACTATGTTCCAGTTTCGAGAAAGCAGCTATGAATTATTGATAATCACTGACGCCGTGGCAAGTGCGACTGAGCGACGGGGAGTTGCGTTAGGGTTCACGACCCCTAGGCAACGCGTGTTCAGCTGATTGGCAACCCGTGACCCATCATTAAGACATTTTGTGGCACATTCTGAGTCCTCTTCTTATCGCAGCTATCGGGTCTTTGTTTCGCAACGCCTCAGTCCTCGGCGCATTTCCACAAGTCCCGTGGCGCCTGAAACCAAAATGACCGTCATCATCATCAGCTGAGCGTTGTGGTTCGCCCTGCCCGTTGTAATGGCGCCGGAGCACGGAGAGAGGGAAGTGAGCGCCAGCCCTGCGGCGCCGCAGGATGAACTGAAAACGTTTCGCCCCTGCCCCTTAACACGCGTTTATTGTGGTAGGCCGTTGTTTGCGAGGCGGCGGGCAAGGGTCAAGGGTCAAGTCTCCGCCGCTGCCCGTGACGGGGTCGACCGGACGTCTCGGGGCGCGTCACCAGCGCCATCTTGTGGGCCCCGGCCGTGATGGACGAGCCGCCCTGGTCGCCGCGCCTGCTCACCCCGCGCCGTCCCCTCCCGGCGACCCCTCGACGCCGCGGATGCGGGGTCAGCCGTCCGCCGCGCCGCACGCGCGCGTGGGCGGGTGTGATGTTGGCGGACGCCGGGACCTGTTGCCGGCCCAGCGGCCGCTGCGGGCAGCCGCTACAGATGGCACGCTCCCACCGTCACGTGCTCTCGACCCCCCCCCCCCCCCCTCCATCCGCGTACACACACTGCCGGCGCGCCGCGCCCGCGCAGGGTTGGCCGCCGGTGCGCTGTTTTTGTCGCCGCCGCTGCCGCCGCCAAGGTCCACCCGCCGACACTGGGTTAATGGCGCGGCGGCGGCGTTTTTGCCGCGTCGTGCGCGACGCCGGCGTGGCGGCGGCGGCGGCGCCGGCGCACTCGCCGCCGGCCGGCAGCCGCCCCCGCTCGGCGCCCGCAAACTTCCCGCGAGTTGTCGACAGAAGTTGGCCCGCTGGCGCCCCGTTAGCCGTCGCCTCTGATCAGCGCCGCCGAGCGGCGGAGCAGGTACGCGCCCAGCTCCGCCGGGCGGGGCAGGGGTGAGCGAACCGTCCGACCGGACGGCGGCACCGCCGCGCTGGACCGACCGACCCTCCGTGGCTCGCGCCCCTCTCCCGACCGCTCCCACCCCCCCCGGCGCGCTGAGCGCGCCCCTGTCGGCCCGCCGTCGTTTTTCGGGGTGCCGGAAGCTGAGTCAGCGCGCCGCTCGGAAGCGCTTGCGCAACCAGCGCGGCCCGATGGCCGCCGGGGTGCGTCGGAAGCGGCGGCCGTGTGCGCGCGCGCGCTCTCGACTCGCTTCCGCGTCTTTGTGCCGGCCGGCCGGCAAGGCCGCCGTCGGCTGTCTGCTGATCGGCTGATCGGGGAGCATCGCCGCCGGCGATCGGCCTGGGTCGGCGCCGGCGGCGAGAGTGAGTCACCAGGGCGGCGGTATCCAGCCGAGCGGCGCGCGCGCGCGCGCGAGGTCGTGAACAGCGCCGCTCCCTGTTTCTGTTCCGGTCGGC